GGCCCCCAGCCCCGCTGCCGTTACCAGGCCCCCGTGTGGACGCCTTCACCAGAGAGGACAAGATCCGGGTGGGCCCTAGAGACTGACCCCCCTTGGGTGGCCTGTGGGGGTGGATGGGTGTCTCTCTCCATCCTGGAGGGCGGATCCCCCGGCCCCTTACGGCCGCGTGTTCTCTCTCTGCAGCTCATGCCAACTACCAGGCCCAGTCGGCCGTGCCCCTGCGCCAGGAGACCCACGGCGGGCCTTCACCAGAGAGGACAAGATCCGGGTGGGCCCTAGAGACTGACCCCCCTTGGGTGGCCTGTGGGGGTGGATGGGTGTCTCTCTCCATCCTGGAGGGCGGATCCCCCGGCCCCTTACGGCCGCGTGTTCTCTCTCTGCAGCTCATGCCAACTACCAGGCCCAGTCGGCCGTGCCCCTGCGCCAGGAGACCCACGGCGGGGAGGACGTGGCGATCTTTGCCAAGGGCCCCATGGCCCACCTCCTGCATGGTGTGCGGGAGCAGAACTACATCCCCCACGCCATGGCCTACGCGGCCTGCATCGGTCAGAACACAGGCCACTGCCGCTCAGGGGCCCACCACAGCACAGCGGGGCTGCTGCCCTGCCTCTCCACCCTCGCCCCCCTCCTCCTCCTCCAACTCTGGTTTTAAGGGCTCCCCCTCGATCGGCCCACGTGCTCCAGCCCCAGAGCGGGGCTCTCCAGCTGCCTCGGATGGAGCTCCTGACCCCCTCAAAGACAGACCTTGGAACCTCTCACCCGTGTGGTGCCCGGCCTACAGGGTTTAACCCTGCTGGGCAAAATACCAAGGTTACCTTTGTCTGGCCTACAGCCCCCCCTTGTCCCCAGACTTGGCCAGTGGCCGGGAGCCACGGGCAGGATCAGCAGGGGCGGGGAACGGCATGAGCGCTCAAGCCCCGCGGATGCTGCTGGACGGCCTTGGTGAGGATGCCCCGGATTCCAAGCTGGCTTCCAGGCCGGAAATGTTGGGCTGTTTGATCGCGATACTCTGGGCTGGTTCCATGAACCCAGCGGCAGAGACACCAAGGTTCAGTCTGGGGCAGGCTTCTTGGACCCAGATGTTTTGTATCTAAATAACGTTCTTTTGAGCAAAGCTCCCCGAGTCTCACGCAAGCGGTTTTTAAAAAAAATCAGGCAAACAAAACTCCCAAGTTAGGCAGCGCTCTGTCCGCCCGCCCCGGCTGCAAATTGCTGTGTCAATAGAGGGTCCCCTCCGTCAGCAGTGCCCATGTTTGTCTGCTCCACAACCAGAAGCCAGGTCGAAACGTTGCGGGACGAGGCTTTTGGAATCTGAATCCACATGTGGCTTTTGGCTCTTTGATTCATCTGGGGCTGGTGTTTTCGGAGGACCTTCAGGGAATTCACCGCTGCAGTCAACAGGAGTCGGGACCTGGATCCAGATCTATGAAGGCATTTAGGCTCCTAAATCCCTCTGATTTCAATGGGAGTTAGGAGCCTAAATACCTTTGTGGCAGTGGGTCTCCATTCCCTTTGAAGCTCCAGCCCCCTGTCCGACAGCTCAGGAGTAACGCCCCGAACCCTGCACTGACTCGGCAGGGCCGAAGGAATCGCTCACATCCCGAGAGGCAGGCTCCTAGTGGGACTGGGAGGGGCCTCGAGAGCTCAGCTAGTCCAGTTCCCGCCTCCCTCCCCGGCGGGACCGGATTGAAGTCGGGGGGTTCCAATCGATGGAGCCCTCGTAGATTCCTCCCTTGGTGCAGGCAGAGCAGGTTCTCCCGGCCTAGGCTGGGGTTGCCACGCCGGGCCCAGACCTTGTGCTACAATTCTGAGGCTCTGCCTCGTCCCGCCCAGCTGCCTTGTAGGACACCACAGATCTCTGGAGACTGTGTCTGTGGGTCACTTACTGCTGATGCTGGGATGTGAAGAAGTGGGACAAATTGCCAAGCTAGGACAGGAACCCAGGTTGTCAGGCCCAGGGTCAGCCAGGGTCAGCCGTGCTGGGCTGAGGTCTGAGATTTCCCGCACAATCAGCCATTTCTACCACGCTGCCGTGTTGGCCGGGTCCTGCAGTGGAGAATAATGTTGGCCAAACTTTCCTCGGCCGTACAAACAGGTGGTTTGCTGTGCTGGGGCCATGCTGGTCCCGGGCTGTTCCACAGACAATCCAAATCCATCCTTTATGGGGCTGGCTTCAGCCACAAAAGAGAGACCTGTTCGAGGGTCTCCACCACGGCCAGCTCGCCCCCCCTCCCTCCCCCCGTCTCATTTCTATAACAAAGGGCTGTTGCAGTGTCAGGCTGGCTGGTTTTTGAACCAAGCCCAAGGTGATGACGCAAGAGCCTTAGGAGCCCAAATCCGAGTTACACTAGTGGGTCTCAGTTGCGTGGAGGGGCTAGGAGGCTGGGCGCGGGCATTCTCAAAAACTCTTAAGTGCCTTGTGAGACCAGCAATTGTTTCTCCTGGCGAGCTGATGTAGAGCATGGGGGGGTAGTTTGCCATGACGTGGGGCGATTAGTTTCTGAGCGTCCATTAGGATACCTGAGCTCTGTCATTTGTTGTCAAGGTTTCACTCAGCTGTTCAATTTGTCACTAGTTTTTTTTTCAAATAAGGCATTCTCAAAAACTCTTAAGTGCCTTGTGAGACCAGCAATTGTTTCTCCTGGCGAGCTGATGTAGAGCATGGGGGGGTAGTTTGCCATGACGTGGGGCGATTAGTTTCTGAGCGTCCATTAGGATACCTGAGCTCTGTCATTTGTTGTCAAGGTTTCACTCAGCTGTTCAATTTGTCACTAGTTTTTTTTTCAAATAAAGAACTTTTTCAGGTCTTAGTGGATTGTTTGAAGAAATTTGACTTCTTGGGGCATGGGGGGCTGGAAGGACAGCTTCTTTGGGCTTCACTGATAAGAAGAATACTGGCCCGAACACGGCTGGGTGGAAGGAATAGTCAACCCACTTCATCAGCCGTGACCCAAGACCCTCCCGAAACTGTTGCCACGGGTCACCTTGGGCAGGGGGCTGGACTTGACCTCCTGAGGTCTCTTCCAGCCCTGGGATTCTAATTGTCAGGGGTAAATAAATACAGACCTGGGATTGCATCTGGGTTCTGTCAGGGTAAATAAATACAGACCTGGGATTGCATCTGGGTTGGATTTGCACTGAGGCCTCTTGTGTCAATGTTTGCTCAGAAGATCTTGTTGTTAAAGCTGCACGTGGCTTTTCCATGAATGTGCATCAGCTTCGAAGCATAAAACTCCGACCCATGGCGAAAGTTGGGTGCAGAACACCGTGGGTGCAGGGCCTTGCAGTGTGGGTGCCTGGGGGTGGGCTGTGGGGGCGGGGCCTTGCGGCTGCCATGGGATAAGCTCTGGGGGCGGGGCCTTGTGGTGTGTTGTGGGTTAAGTTCTTTGGAGCCTGGAGGGCGGGGAAAAGACCTGATTGGCTAGCTGGTTCAGCCGTTAGTCACCCAATAGTAGCATCCTGCAGCCCTCAGGGAGCACAGTGCGTGTGCCCCCGACAATGGACTCAGGGCTGCCGTGTGAGATGCGTCTGGGGTCCGCCTGTTCCCTTTGACCTGCCGATTCCCCGCTTGCCGGCACCCGGCCTGGCATCGGCCCGATCCCGTGCTGCCCTGGAACGTGCTCGCATGTCTTGCGCCTCGTGCTCTGGGGCGTGTGTGTTCCTGCAATGCCAGCCTGGTTCTGAGAGCAGGGCCTGGCTCTGGCCCGCAGCCGGACTTTGCTTGTATTGACCAGGCCCTCTGACCTCAGGCCCAATTCTTACTGCAGCCTCTTCCGCCAGGATTCCTGCTTGGAGTTTGATTTTGTTTTTAGGGCTGTTGAAACCCAGTCGGGGCTTTATTCTTTATCCTTGTCCTGCCCATCTGCGGGGCTGGGTTTTGAGGCATGCAAACTTCGGCTGCCGTAGTTAAAGGAGGCTTTTTGCCCATCATCACTGATGGGTTTTCAGGAAGATGGGCCCTTGAAAACGGGATGTGCCTGGAATGGGGCTGTTTCCCATCCCATGGGAAGGCAGGGAGCTGTTTGAGGGAGGTTATACTGCAGAGCGATCACTAGGGGGTAGCTGCACCACCAAGAGAGTGACCAGCTGTGGCTGGGGCCTGCCATTTTGCTGGCCACCAGACGGGTAAGTGACCCCATTGTCCCAAACCCCTTGCCCACAGCGGGGAGGGGGAGAGAAGAGCCCCACCTAGATCGGGGGGAGAGAAAGGCCCCACCCCCCAGAAGAGCCACACATCCTCAGCCTGCCAGGTCCCCTTTCTCCTCTCCTGGGCCTGACTTGGGGAGCGCCACTGGATTCCGCTTATGCTGCCCTCCTCCCCGGCTCTGCTCCCCAGACTGGGACCAGCGAGCACTGGCAGGGCGACCTATGTGCCCCCCTACTCCAGGCTTCCCCTACCCTGGGGACAAGCCAGCAGGCAGGGTACCTGCCCCACTTCCACAGCAGGACCCACCCCCATCCCCTGCCCTGAGCCCCATCAGCCCCCTGCCCCGAAGGACCCAAGCAAGGCCGGGTAAGTCTTGTAGTGCAGTGTAATGCGTTTGCGGGGTTGCCAGAGGCAGGGTGGGCGAGGGACTGTCTTTTACTGGACCAACGTGTTGGTGAGAGACGCGAGCAGGGCACTTTGCCTTTCCCGGCCGTGGAGAAGGCCTGGGAGTAGCTCCAAAGCTGGTCGCTTACCGCCCATCCCAGAGACGCGACTGTCTCACGCCCCTTGGCCAAGGCCTTTCTCTTGGTTGCCAATGTCAAGTGTTAAACGGGTTTATTCTAATAAAAGCACCCTGGGCTCTAATGTACATGTTGAATTTTTAAAATAACTCCCTTTCCTGCCCGCTGGCTGGCCCGCCGCCGGGCGCTCCCCCTCCGAGGCCCTGGAGCCGTTGGCTTCGGGATCCGGCAAACGCACAAGCCTGGGTGAAGAACTCGGGGGCTCCTTGACTTTCAGGCCATCACTCGTGGGCAGGGCTAGAAGGGTCAAGGGGCCCTCCTGCAACAGAGCCAGCGCTTCTCCAGGGGGGGAGCAGAGCCGGAAGGAAAGGGGCATGCTCAGAGTCGACTCCGGTCCCCAGAAGTCAAGCCTGGGTAGGAAGCAGGCTGCTCCTGCCCCTCCCTGGCCAGCTGCTGTTGCACACAGAGAGCATGCGGGGTGGCGGGGGGGAGGGGGCTACGACTCAGACAGCCCCAGTCCCAGCCCCAGAAGCCAAGTGCAGCAGGAGGCAGCCCATTCCCACTGCCGCCAGGGACGATCCCAGGTAGCTGCTGTGCTGCACCAGGCACAGCCAGGTGTGGCTTCAGGGCCGAACATCCTGGGGGAAGCCAGTAGCAGGAGGCCTGGTTCCCCCCAGGTAAGCAAGGGTGGGCAGGGAACAGGGAGAGCGTGGGGACTGTGGGCTGGGGGGAGTCATGTGGGGAGGGGACATGTCTCCCCTTTAGCACTTGTCATTCCCCATAACATCTGGCTGAAATCTGATTAAAGATTTCAAGTTACACTGGGGGCCCTGGGCATAGAACACCCACCCACCCACTCACCAAACAAAACCCCAGGGAGATTGCAGCCATGTCATCCAAAGGTTACACAGCACCGGTGGGCCGGCTTCAGCAAAACCAACAAGGAGTCTGGTGGCACCTTAAAAACTCGCAATTTCATTAGGGGGAAAAGCTTTCCAGAGCTGCCGCTCACTTCCTCAGATGCATGAAGCGCAAGAGACAGGAAACGGACGGGGGTACAGAGAGGGGAGTGTCGCAACCTGAGTTTGAGGGTTTTTTGCTTGAGGTGAACCGAGCCCCTGCTGCTTTCGCTGATGTGGTTAGGCCCTGCAATGGTGTCACTAGAGGACGGAAGGGAGGTTCCAAAGAGGATGGAGAGAGGCTGTTCTCAGTGGTGGCAGAACAAGGAGCAATGGTCTCACATTACAGTGGGGTGGTCTAGGTTGGATACTAGGAAAAATTCCTTCCCTAGGCGGGTGGTGAAGCACTGGGATGGGTTCCCAAGGGAGGGGGTGGAATCTCCATCCCTAGAGATGTTTAAGTCCCAGCTGGACCAAGCCCTGGCTGGGTTGACTTAGTTGGGCTGGTCCTGCCTTGGGCAGGGGGCTGGACTTGATGCCTCCTGAGGTCTCTGCCCGCCCTGGGGCTCTGTGGTTCTGTGCAATCTAGGTTTGCACCTGTGTGGTTCTCAAGGGGCTGACTCTGGACTCGTGACTCAGTTATTTGTACCTCTGCATTGAGAACTCAAGGGCTGAGTCCCAGCTGGCCTCCGTGTATGACACCAGGCGCTGAATCAGCAACGACAGAGAAACATGGAGCCAGGAACGGACCAAGCTGCCGTCATTTCCATGGCTGTCTGACCCTTGCACTCCCTCCTGCCAGGAGCACTTTGAAAACGAACCGCCACCCGCTGAAGAATGGCCCGTGAGCGCTGCCTCTCTGAGTGAAATTGACAGGTGCGTCAGGGTCGAGTCCACCAGCCGGTGCTTGCAGAAGAGTTATTGTGCCGGCAGGCCAGTCTGGTGTCCTGAAGGCCTCCTGCTCCGAGAGCCCTTTGGGAGGTTTCCAATCGCGAAATGCTGTGCAAGCATGAGATTCCCATGGGGAAAGGTCACATGACAAGCAGGAAACCTTGCCCGGCGAGGGAGAGTAAATAAACCGATTTCGTGCAACAACTTGGCAGTCGTGCCCATGAAGTAAAAAAGGCTCTTCAGAAAACATTTGTCTTGGCTCTGCAGCCGCCCCGGCAGAATCCAGGAAGCGCCCTAGAGCCACATTTCGACACCCAGCCAAACCGACAGCTACCAACTGACTGCCCCTTTCATCACACCTTCTCCACAGAAACCTCTGTGGATGTGCTCGACGGAGGCTTCTTCCTTATCTTGAGCTTTCTTCTTCTTGCCCAGCGCGGGGCGTGGTCACACGCTGCTCTGTTTGATAACCTTTCCTCCAGCCCAAGGGCTGCGTTGTGCCCTGTCACTTCCCCAAATACTTCAGGATTCACTTGGCGGGGGCATCTCTGGGCTTGAAACAAAGACTCGCCTCTGGACTTAATTAACGCCCCCAGCAGGTGGCAGTGCGTCTGTCTACACTGCTTCTTGCCCAGCGCGGGGCGTGGTCACACGCTGCTCTGTTTGATAACCTTTCCTCCAGCCCAAGGGCTGCGTTGTGCCCTGTCACTTCCCCAAATACTTCAGGATTCACTTGGCGGGGGCATCTCTGGGCTTGAAACAAAGACTCGCCTCTGGACTTAATTAACGCCCCCAGCAGGTGGCAGTGCGTCTGTCTACACTGGCGCTTCAGCACACCCAGACCCTAAAGGCCTGAAAGCTTTTCCCACCTTTGAGCCGTGCAAATGGCTCCGTGCAAAGCTGGGTCCTGCTCTGTCAAAGGCAGCAACTCACTTGGCCAAAAAGTGCCATCTAGCCAGGTCACTTTGCCAGCTAAGCCTGCGGACCTGCCAGCACGCCACTCTCCTGCGAGCGAGCGGCAAAAAGAAGGGGAAAGTTTTCTGCCTTGGCTCATTCTGGGCCCGTGGCCAAAAAGGTCACAAAAAGCTGGTTTGTTTTCAAACATCG